AAAAAAAAAAAAAAAAAAAAGAGAAAAAAGAGAAAGAAAGAAAAAGAAGGAAAAATAAAGAAAAAAAGAAAAAAGTTGTTTCGGAGTATTTGACTAGTTAAATGGGCAGTTCGATGTTTCACCAACCGCCCCTAGACATCCACCTCTCATAATACGCTACCCACACCTCATGCCAACTATTACATCACCCTATCTCGCTCTTCTTCCTACAGTTGCATGTAACCCTAGGTACAAGCCCCCCGTCCCGTGCCGCCTATCTAGACGGGTTGCCTGATAATCAAACCCCGCCCCTCTCCTCTTCCGATAGCCGAATATCCTGCACCGCCACTCCCTCCTGGGGCTGAGCGGGGCTGAGCATGGCTTATCACCAACTCGCGGAGCCAAAACGGGAGCCGGACGTCGAAGATGAATTCGACAGCGGACGCTTCACTGAAGTGACTACTATCCCTGCAGATAGATACTCATCTCCCGCGCCCAGTGAATTACCTCGGAAGAAACCATACCTATCCTCAGGCAAAAAAATCACCCGCTCCCGGGTCAGTAAAAGCTGTCTTACCTGCCGTCAGCGCAAGGTGAAATGCGACACCGTACGTACCTATATTTTCCTGTATTCTCCTAGTTTAGATTATTTATCTTATTTTGTATCTGTCTTTTCCCTGCTAAGTACTCCTGGGTTCTCCAATTGCAGGTTCACCCCATATGCGGAACTTGTGAGAAAACGAAGTCCGCATGCCATTACAGCTCATCATCCCTGACTGACCCTTCCCAGCTGTGGCGCAACACACAAGATGACAGCCATGGAATTAAGCGGCGGAGAGAGCTGATTGATCCCGTGAATCTTGGAGGTGTTTCCGCGACTGATGTGCTGTCTCCATTCAGCATTCTAAGGGAGATCCAACGGGGCCAAGATGCCCTGCGCGAACAATATTCGGATTCGCAGCCGATAGTGGCTAGGTTGGATCAACTTCTTACGGTTGTTGAGCAGTGGGCTCGAACAAATGAGCATCAGTCGCTTGAGGAGCTCAATATATCGAGACAAAATCAAAAACATGATCCATCGAGCAACGGCGATGCGAGTCCCATTCTACTGAATGCCTCAGAGTCGTCGAAACCTTCCCCAGACGCCTCGCCCCTATCTGGTCCGTCGTCAAAAGTTCGACTAGGTCAAACAGCCCAAGCTGAAACTAGTGGGAATGATGACTTCCCTATTCCGAGTGGTTTGGAAACAGATCTCGTAGACCCCGTTGGATCTTTGAACTTGGGACACCTTAGTCTGGAAGACGGAGGAAAATCAAGGTTCGCCCACTCAGAACCTAGGAAGCGCAAAAATTGGTTGTCAGAATACAGTTAACACTTTTTATAGATATGTTGGAACCACCTACTGGGCGTATATTTCGCGAGAGGTAAAATGACATTGTATGTTACTCCATAATCTGTCACTGATTTCTGACAATTTGCAGATAACGGAACCTGATCGGTTTCTTCGCCACCAATCACGACCTCACGGGCGATCACCCACTCCTAGTGATGGGTATTCCTCAGTCGATGAAGACCAATTCCAAGATCCAACCTTGTCAACCAACAGTCATCAGACGAAGCCATCGCATCGTGCCGGCAATGACTCGTTCCATAGATCAGTCCCGTTTCCCACGGGTGACTCATCTGCATCGCAGGATAACTCAATCGAATCATGTATGCTAGAGAATGTCCCTACTAGAGCACAAAGCCGCATCTTATATAAAGGCTTTATGTCTGGGGTGCATGCGATTAGCCCCGTGATGCATCCTCCTTCAATTCTCGAGAAATATCATGCGTTCTGGGATTGGTACGAAAATATGGGACAATCCGGGGAACCATGCCCTGACCCATCATTCATCCCCCTCTTATATGCCATCTGGTACGGGGGTTCCGTCACAATATCTCTGCGGATAATCCGCGACGAATTCGACATCGAGAGTCGTGCGGCATTATCAACCCCTTTTCACGATGAAGTGACCCGCTGGCTGCGCAAAATATCATTCCCCAGAAATTCCTCAATACATGGTCTCATGGCATTCCTTCTTGTGCAAACCATCTTATCCAGAGAGGAGGAGCCCCTGGCTAGCAGCCTGTTCATTAGTCTGGCTCTTCGCGTTGCGCAATCAATGGGACTGCACCGTGATCCGGCGCAGTTTGGTATTTCGGCCTGCGAAGCTGAGACTCGAAGGCGCGTGTGGTGGCATATCGTCCACATGGATGGAGTGGTGGCCATGTCTAGCGGTCTCCCTCCACTCGTCAGTGATGAAAATTACTGGGACGTGCGCGATACAAGCGAGGTGAAAGACACCCTTTTAGGTTCGACTACGGCTGACGAGTATGAGCGTTTGGTTAATGCCAACGAACGGAGACCGGACCGACCGAGCGATCCGAACATATGTGATGGTGCATCCATGGTTAACGTATATTATCTTTGTGCAAGAGGGAAATATGTGATGGCTCGTTAGTTACCCCTCTCCCTTCTTGAATCACTCCATGCGACGTTTGACGTACTAACCCTTCATCTGAAGAGGCAATTCGAAAGATCTTAAAGATACAGCTTGGAACCAAACCAGTTACCCGAAAGGATATGGAAGTTTTACAGACGATCCTCATTGAACTTCAATCCAAATTGTACACAATAGTTGATAGGATTCCCGTAGTGAAATCCGCGAGACCTTTAAGCTGCGATGGTCACAGCTACCAATCGGCTCCGTCATGCTCATCGTCATCTGCAGCTATAGGGTCGGTCGAATGTAGTCCATCGAGCGTTGGCCCCAGTTGTTTAGAGCAATATCATTCGCCTGTATTAGTTGCTTTTCACAAGTGGGCTAGAATATTACTTTCTTTATTTGTTGACAAGGTAAGTTAACAGCTATTCTCTTATAGCCATGTCGGGTTATTTCACACTAACAACGCGTAGGCATTCTGTGTTGCGTATCAGCCATTTTTAAAAAACGCCAAAAGCAAGATATGGCCTGTTGCTCGTCAGCGGTACGTAAATACACGTCCATATGTTCTTAAACGTCTATAATTTATGCCATGAGACTTACTAACTTAACTCAGAGCTCTTCACCATTGTCATGGATTTATGGAGAAATTCATTCTTCTGGCCACCGATCCGGATTTCCAACCGTTCCAATGGAGCTGGCCTGGGTTAGTTCTAATCGCCTTGCTTAGCAGGTATAGCACTCACTAACGAAAACTCAACTGCAGGAACCATCAACCAATGCACGCCACAATGTAAGTAAATCATCTTCTCTATATAGTAGTTTATTTTGTGTGCTGACACAGTTTACAGGATCATGCTGATCGACCTCTACGAACGCCCGCAGACTGTAGAAGCTGCCAAATCCCGTGCCTTTATCGATAAAATATTCTCTCTCTCCGGTCCTGACGGTGGAGTCGTAGGCGGCGAGGACGGTATTTCGACGTCTCGACCTCTTAGAGACGGCGGTCGTGAAGCCTGGGACATGATGCGACGCCTGCGAGAGAAAGCCTGGTTAAAAGCGGGGCTTGATCCGAGCGTGCTATGGACAGAGCAAGCCCAAGCTGAAGCTCAACGCCCAATCACGAAACGTACATCTGCTCAACTCCCCAAGGAACGATTGGGATCAACGGTTGAAAGCTTCGCGGATAGCTATTACACCCTTATTAAGGAACCGTATGATCATAATAGCAATACTAACCAATCATCGGAACGGGAACGGGAACGAATACCGGGCGGGAAAGAAAATCGACATAAAACAGGTGCTGTACACGGGGTCCATCCCTATTCCCAATCCCAACACATCTGCTTCTCCTCCACCGATCAGCACGCGGTAGCTACGTTTCTGCCAACACAGCATCAATGGCCCTATTCCCCGCCAGCACATCCCCAAACGAACGGTATCAACAGTCAATCATGGCCATCTTCCTCACCCTTCTCTTCTGCTTGTATCAACGACTCATCTCCATATCAGCTGCCTCCGACTATCAGCAACCATACTGCTAGCCCACCCGGCCACCCAAGCACCAACACCACCACCAACAATCCCGCAACCCAGGCCCTGAATTTTCCCCCTTTCACATCACCAGAAGTCGCCCCGGTATCTGACATTCTCATTCCTGTCTCCACGCCATCCGACATTAACCTTGATATCCAACCACGTCAACTTCCCAATCCCTCCGCACCTACCTCATCCCCGAGATTTTCTAACCTCATCTCTAGCCCGCCGATGGAACACCACAATCTCCAATTCGACTGGGACCAGTGGGATGCAGTCTTTGGGCCGTCGTTACCTGTTGTCGATGGCTTTATGCATCTTGATACTGTCAATGTAGGCGGGGCGGGAACGGGGGAAAATGTTGGAATTGGTGGTGGTGGTTGTGGTAGTGGTAATAATGAAAATACTACGATGGGGGCGGGGTCACGGGTTTTCATGGATGAAGAAGGAAAGGTGGATATGGATGAGTCATGGGGATTTTGAAGGAATCAAGCGGATGTGGCATTCTTTTCTGGACGTTGGATTTTAGACTTTTCATTTAATATCCGCTTTTGTATGCAGCTAATGGCAACATGGGAAGTTACTTGTGATGGGAAAGACATGGCGCGTTATATGATTAGATTTGTATGTACATACAATATGTTACCTTTTCTGTGATGTGGTGATTACTTTGTCAGTTGTAAATATTATATTTCCAAGCTTCAATTCATTAATCTTATTTAACTACATAGATAGTTATCTTCACTTACAATATATTATTTTGTTCCAGCTAATGAATACTTGAAGGTATGAATATAACCTGCAGATCAGAGATATTTGGATGGAGCTTAATGGAACTCGCAGCTACGGAAAGAAATGTGCCAGATGAGCTTTCACTTGTTCTATATCTTCCCATTTGAGCTCTACACCCGACTGATGACTTTTTCTGAGCGTGGTACAACAAAAGGAAAGAGTTAAATATATATAATTAAACTAAGCTTCCTTCGTTTCGTGAGGAGTGTAGCGTGAGCGGACGGGCATGAGAGCGTATGGACAGAAGATGGACAGAGAAGAACGGTGCAGTGCGAACTATTTTAGAAATGAGAAATAAATGTGAATTTGTGTGTGACAAAAGGTGAGGGTAAAAAAAAAATATCGTGAAGATGAAGTGAGGATTACTTGGCATCTTTTACATCCTTACTCGTTCGAAATTGCAATTAAAGAATACAATATGACCAGAGGGATCACTTGGTTTAGCAACCATTTAGACCTTCTCTGGGACGAGACCATGCTTCCAGATTGTGGCGTATGGGGTAATACCGTCTTCGCGGAAATCGATGAGAATGTGCCTAGGCGGAATATGATGGTGAGTAGGTATACGGGGAAAATAACAAATGAAAATTGAGAGGGAAATGGAAATGAAACTTACATTCCGTTACCATTCATGGATGAACCCATGAGAACATCGTAGTTGTCATAGTTTTTGAGGATCTTCTTGACGGCGTCTGCAGCGCCAGCCTGGAACTCCTTGATGGTTTCTTCGCTGGCACCGGTATCCTTGAGTGCTTTGTTCACATTCTTGACATATGCTGTGGATTTTCGCGAGAGCGTTGAGTCAGACTCTATTGTACCTCTATACAATATATCATGGGTAGGGAGGTGAGAGGCGGGGCACTTTTCGAAATGGCAATCGCGTACATTTCAGATGGGCCTTGAATTGATCTTTGCTAGGCTTGGTTTCTTTGCCAGATTCGTCTGGTTTTAGCCAATTCAGCTGGAAGGACTCTTCGATGTCGTGGACCATCTCTCCGCCACCTTCACCGCCGTACTCTTCTTCTCCGCCCTCAGCAGATGGGTTGGCACCCTCCAGTTCTGTAAACACGATACTTAGTTAATGAACAGACACAGTTATGGATGAATGGGTTGGACCTGGTTTGAATTAAAGCCATTGAAATGAAACAACATGGAGAGAGACACATATATATAGTTGGTACACAACTTGACAATCCTTACGGCCAAATGGAAAAAAGCAGCGATTTGATGTAGTAGAGGACATCATCAGGAGGTAAAGTTAACTGACCGAAGTTCTCAGCTCCCTTGACATATTTCTTGCAATCGCACTCCCACAGGACTCCACCAGAGACCTCGATGAGCTTCCAGGTGTCTGAGATGACCTCGTCGCCAGTGATGATGTCCTGTTTTTGGAATGTATATATATAAAAGGTCAGCTTTATTGTTGCGCCATTACGAAAAAAGTGTTCATTATTCCTCTGCTGTTTCCTTTAAGGCAGCTATGATAGTCGAGGACGGGTGAAACGGAGAATTCTGTGTAGAGCGGGGTAAAATGGACTGACTGACCTTGTAGATAATCATGGTGACAATGTTGATTGCAAGATATTTAAAGGTTTGAGAGGGGGAAAGGGTAAATCAGGTTATGGTAATTGAGAGCGATGTGACAAATAGCAAGTGAAGATAAGAATGGGAAGAGATGAGGGTGTGGTCAAAATATGAGAAATTATGTCAACTACAAAGGGCAAAGAATTTGTTTTGATTAGTTGTGGCTTTTTCATTCAAAAAAGAAAGATTCTTCCTTTTTTTCTTTTTTCTTTTTTCTTTTTCTTTTTCTTTTTGTTTTTCCGGTGGGGAAAGAAAATCGATGCTAGACCAGAAAGAGAACATATCACGTGATAAGAAAGCTCGCTCGTTAAAAAGTTTATCCTTCCCCGACATTAAAACAACCATCCAAACAACCTCGACATCCATATATATATCGAGAAGAACGAAAAGAGCAAGGATATGTCAAGGATATGTCATTAGATGTACCCTGATTGTTTGTTTAATTATTATACTTTGGGCCTGGATAGAACGTGGTGCTTCGATTGATATCCCTACAGATAGATACACGCGATGGATCAGTCAACACCGGCGGGGTTGGCACTGACGGATGGATATCTGGACGACGTCCACTCCATCTTCGACAAACACAACCACTCTATCGTCCTAGTGGAGAAGTGCACAATGATGTGGATGGGGATTTCTCAAACACCAACTGTATTTCTGCCTAGTAAATCTTAAAATTTTCTCTCAAATTGGGTGAGAAGAGAAAATAAAAAGAAAAAAGAAAAAAGAAAAAAAGAAAAAGAAAAAGAAAATAGAAAAAAACAAGAAACAAAAAATGTCGAGTTCAAGGACTAAAGCTTCCACTTTCCTTTTTCATCTAGGATCATGACTTCCTCGTCCGAGACTCTCAGCTTGAGGATATTCTTACCGCATTCCTTGCTTGGGAAGAGTGGGAACAAGTCGAACAAGACCCATCAACCTGTTACAATGATCCCTGGGTGAATCAAGTCCCCAGGTTTCGACGCTCGGTGCGAGAACCTGTTCACATCAGTCTCTGGCCGGAAAAGATCTACTCCCTCTCAGTGGACAATGGACCTAAAATCCAGGTGCCCAACGTGGTCACACGGTGGGATTGAGTGTTGATGGAGGAGCTTTTCGACCCAAAGTTGGGCTATCCTATCACCAAAACCGCGCTGGAAGCAAGGAACACTCGCATTCTCCCCGAACGTCTTGGTCAGCGTAACAACACAAGCCCTATATTTATCCCCACTATCCCACAGATGATAGACGCATTGCTGGATCAGGATAGATATCACCATGATCACGCGGGAGATTCTAATTTCAATATCTTAGCCAGCCAGCCGGCAGAGCATATTATGGGCTCTGTACGATCTCTCTACCTTGAACATCCAACCCAGCAGCAGAAGGTCCTCCCACATCTCACTAGTAATAATTTGTCGGGAATGGAAGCCAAGCTTGCGGGATTCAAGCTGAGGCCAGCAATTATGCTGGATAATCTGACTAGACTGCCAACGCCGAGTCCTTTACAATAAACAATCCTTAATAAAAGACGCGTTTTGTGTCATTATCATTGCGGCAGCTTTTCTGCATTTTCTATATTTCTTGTATTTTATTCATTATTATTATAATAAGTATGTTTCACTAGTTACGCTCAATATATCATCAATTATATGATAGAGAAGATGAATACTATATAGATAATAACTGCAACACTTTAATAAAATATCTAAATATGAATATGCAGTGTTATTATCAGTCAAATTGTATTTATATAATTTTAGTAAAGAAGATATTTTATATATTATAGTTATTAATTTATTTTACTTAATAAATATAAATTTAGATTATTTTTTTATAATATTTATTTTTATTATAATTTTTTTGATAGTGAAAAAATATTTATTTTTGATATATTTATATATATTTAAAAATATTAAATATTTTTTTTTAATTTTTTTTTTTAAATTTAATTAATTCTGTTATAATATAGCTATTTATATATAAATTAAAATTATTTTACTATAATTTTTAATCATCTCTTTATATTTAAATGCTTAGTTATTTCATATTTTAATTCATAGTTTAATATTCTTATCAGAACTATCTGATTAAATAGATAAATAAAGAATTTATTTTAACTTTAAATTATATAATAATAAAATAAAAAATTTTATTTTTTTAAAAAGCTTTAAAAATTAAATATATATATTTTATATCTATATTTATATTTATATGTAATTAAATTTCTGATTGCAATTGTACTGAATATTTAAAAACTTTTATTAATTTTTTATTTTTTTTTTATTTAAATTTTTATATAAAAGTTTTTTTTTCACTATTTATTATTTATTTAAAAGTATTAATAACAAGCTTTATAATAAAAATCAATAACTTTATATTAAATATCAATCTTTATAAATTAAATATTAATTATTACAGATAACTTTGAATAATATTCAATTTCAATTTTAATTTTATCTGAAGTTTTTATTGTTAGATCTTGAAAAGTTCATTTGTGAAAATACTTATAATAGATGATGAACTAAGTGTCAAAAGAAAGTATGAGAAGCTCTATAATTAGAATTAGAAGAGAGTAGATGTATAGATGCTGCAAGTGCTATAAAGAATAGCAATGAATAAAATATATATGTAGAATTAAATAGTAGTTAATCATTAAATCTTTTGAAGTAATTTCAGAGATTCAGAGTATTTATATATATAAATAAATAGTGTAATAGTGTAGAACAGACTTATGTTCAATCTTTTTGACAGTGTAATCATTACAGGCTGAGGTGATTGATTATCATACAGGTCAAAGTGATCAGTAAACAACAATTGCCTAGGCAATGGCAAATAATTTCACAATTACCCTGTGTATGAATAACATGTAAACATGGTAATCACCTGGCAATGGCACTAGAGAAAAAGGACTATATAAACATAGTCTTCTCTGAACTCATTTTTTAGAAATTATCTTAGTATTCACTCAGATAGCTTATTTAGTTAACAATCAAATATCAGTTCATATGCATCTAGCTGAAGTTGTGATATAATACTAAGATCATCTACTTTTCTTACTCTTTTTAAAGTAAGTTTTTAGATAAAAAACCTCTGAAAATTTTTATATACTTTTGTTTTGAAATTTCTAAGAAAACTGCTAAAGTAGTTAGAGAATCTGACAGTTTATAAAGATCAAACTGGGATATGATAACTCTGACTAAAAAGAATATGAGGTCAATAAATCTCATATTCAAGAAACAATTCTTTGAGAAAATTGAAGAAGACTCAGAGTGAGTATATCAAGAAATTGCTGATCTTATGAATAAGACAAGAAGTATTCTAGAAAGAATTAAAGCAGAATGAGATGAGCAGAGAAAGCAAGTGAATAGTCTGATAAAGAAATGAAATGCTTTACAGCAGATAGTAAACTCTTTAGTCTCTCAAATCAGATTGATGAACAATCAACAGATATAATGATCAGTCAAACTTAATAACTCTAAGTATCTCATTAATGAGAAAAAACTAATATTTGAAAACTGACTCTCTCAAATGAAATACAAGCTAGCTGTTAATACTGACCACTTTTCAACTGAAGAAAGCCATATTGTCTATATTGAAAATCAAACTGATGGTGAAGCTGCCAGACACTTAGTCTCAAGAATAAAGAAAAACTATTCTGAGAAGTTTGAAATAGCTTAAAAAGTATTCAAGTATCTACAAGAGATATATGAGAATGTTAATAAATTTGAGAATGCAAAGACAGAATATCAACATCTAATAATGAGAAATAAAGATAACTACTATATATTTATGATCAAATTCTTGCACTTGACTAGTAAAGTTCAGATTTATAAGAAAGATTATAAAGCAGACTTTCTTCATAAGATTTTTTTTGATCTTCAACTTATGATTGCAGCATTATGCATTAATTGCAGCATCTTTCAAGAGATTAATGATATCTGCACTTGAGCTGCTCACTATATTAAGAGTATGCTGAGTCATTATAACTGAAGACTACTCAGTCATAAAGGAAATTCAATGATCTGAAACAGTTATAGAGAAACTCTCACATCTCAGAACTGTGAATCAACTTCAATCACATTAGCACAGATAATCAAGAATAAAATAAAAAATAAAAATTAAAGAAGAATGTGAAATACTTTAATTGCTAAAGCAAAGATTATATAGCTCAAAATTGCTCATATAAGCAAGAGATAGAACTGAAGAAAGTGAATATTGAAACTGTTATTATCAAGTTGAGAAAAAATTAAATCTGAAAAAGCCTTTTTATCAGATAAGATAGTTATACTATAAACTTTAAATGTGAATTAATTAATAAGTAAGAATTCTTTTACTGTATATATCAAAATAGCTTTTAATAAATATACTACTTTTATAAGAGTATTAATAAATTATGAAGTAAATTACTATATTCTTATTGATACAAGCTTTGCACATAAGTGTGTTAAAGTCTTAGAGATAAATTCTAAGAAGCTGATGAAAGATCATCAGATCATGAAATTCAATGAATGAAGAAAAATCTCAATTACAGATATCATTTCCTTATATCTATCAATAGATGACTGAAAATTTCTCAATACACTGATGCTAATGACAGATCTAAGAAGCATTGATATGATTCTACAATGATTCTGACAAACAAAGTAGAAAACATGACTAGACATGAAGAATTAACATCTAGTTTGATCAAGTATATAAATAATTGAAAATAAGATATCAGAAGAATGTAATATAATAATCTCAAGAAAAATTCAAAAAAAAATCAGTAGTGAGATTAGATCATCAACAAGATGCAGATCACTATGATAGACTTATCAATAAAGAATTCAAGTAGAAAGTTACTGAAAGATTTGTAAAGACTCAATAAAAAAATAAATCAAATAAACAGCAAAGAATGACATTCATTGAGAGTGTGATCTTTCATCATCATAAAAGAATCAAAAAGTTAAAAATCTTTATTTCAAGTTTTTATGAGATAAATAGAATTATTGAGAAAAAAAAGATCATTATTGATGCAGAACTGAAGAATGAACAGATGATTAATGAACAGCTACCAGCAGACTACAAGAAATTTTATGATGTTTTCTCAAAGACTGTATCTGATCAATTATCACTCTTTCAAAAGAAAGTGAACTATATGATTGAGATTAAAAAGGGAGTTAATCTGAATAAAGCTATTGATCATATACTGCTATACAGAATAAGCTTGAAGAAACTTGAGACTGTTAAGCAGTATCTTGAGATCAATCTAGAGAAAGATTTTATCTTACTAGTAACTTCTTTATTTGCTTCTTCAATTCTTATAGCTTATACTGCCGGCAAGCTGAGATTTTATATATACTGTCACCAGCTTAACATGATCTCAAAGAAGGATTGATATCTAATTCTACTAGTTGATAAGCTCATGAAGCAGTTAAATAGAGTCAAGTTCTTTATCATATTAAATATTTATCAAAGGTTTTATTGAATATACATATACTCTGAGACTGAAGATCTAATTGTCTTTAGAATATATTATGAAATCTACAAGTATAAGATCATGTCCTTTGATCTAAGTAATAACTCAGTGATTTTTCAATACTTTATGAATATTTTCTTCTTTGACTACTTGAATCAGTTTATGACTGTCTTTGTGAATAATCTACTTATCTACTGCAAAACCTTGAAAAAATACAAAAAATATATCAAAAAATATTGAGTAGATTATGAAAAGCTGGACTATAGATAAGTATCTCAAAATATGAGTTTTATATTCAATAAATAAAGTACTTGAGCTTTATTGCCACTGATTAAGGAATTAAAGTAGACTCAGAAAAGATTACAGTAATATCAAAATGAGCAGTGCCTAGTACAGTTAATAGAGTTCAATTCTTCTTGAGATTCTGCAACTTCTATAAGTGTTTTGTCAAAGATTACAGTCAAATGGTGAAAATACTATTTAAGCTCACTTGAAAGTATTAATTTTTTAAGTAAAATGAGATCTATCAATGTACTTTTGATTTAATGAAGAAAGTCCTGTCTGAAGCTCCTGTGCTCTGTCACTATGACTTAAATCAAGTGATTTAGGTGAAGACTAATGTTTCAGATGATACTAGATCTAGTGTTCTATTTTAGTTATATAAGAATAAGTAGTGATATTCCGTTGTTTTCTATTCTGCTTCAATAAGTGAAGCAGAGATAAACTATAATATTTATGACAAGAAGATGTTAGTAATTGTGAGAGCATTGATAGAATAACATGTTGAGCTGAAAGACCTTCAGAGAACAAAGAGATTCAAGATCTTGACTGATCATAAAGCTCTTGAGTACTTCATGACAACTAAGAATTTCAATGCTAGATAAGTATAATAAATAGAGTTTCTCTTTTAATTCTATTTTTTAATTCAGTATCAGTTAAGATATCAGAATACATTAGCAGATTCACTGAGTCAGCTGAAGATTCAAAAAAATAGCAAAAGCACTCAGATGTAATTATTTCCCAAGCTGAAAAAGTTGAACTTAAAGATCATCA